ATAATATATATAATATTATATATTATATATATAATGTATATTATATATAGTATATAAATTCAATACATAATAATATTCATTTACGTGGTGTGCATGCAGCAGTCCTGCCTAGCTAGCTAGCTAGCTAGCTAGTGGGCTGACAAAGTAGCTAGCTAGCTAGTTAGCTAGCTAGCTAGCTGTGCATGTGTATGTGCTGTATAATTGCATGCATAAATATATATTGAGGTGTATACGGAGGTCTATTGGTATAATTGGGGTGTATGTACAGCTAATTCATGGATGGCGGCCGCATGCGTCGCCTTTTACAGCTAGCTAGCTAGCTGGCTAGCTACCTAGCTAGCTAGCGAGCTAGCTAGCTAGCTGTACATATAGTATACAGCTGGTGTTGATGAGGGTAATTTGTATATATTGTTGTGTATATCTTTATTGGGGTGTATGCTTGCAAACATAAAAAGAAGAATTATTTTTATATCTGCATGCATGCATGCAGACATGCAGCAATTAATGTTCCTTTATTCGGGTGTACATGCAGATTGAGGTGTATAATCACCTCTTATTCGGGGTGTGTGCGTGCATGCATGCATGCATGCATGCATGTATAAATATATATATGCATGCATATATACATATAAACACTTCCTTGGTTCGTATGCATGCATGCATGCATGTGTGCATGCATACATGTATGCATGCATTTATTTATTCATTTATTTATTTATTTATTTATTTATTTATGCATGCATGCATACGCGGTGTATACACAGCAAATAAATTGTCCGTGGCTTCGCATTCATAACGCCAGGAAAAGAAAAGGAAGAAAAAAAAAAAATAAATAAATATAAATAAATATAAATAAATAAATAAATAAATAAAAAGCAGTAAATTATTAATTATTTATAAACATTGTTTTTTAATTTTGTTGACGCGTTATACGTACACCTCAATTACTATTTTACTGCAGCAGCAGCAGCAAGCAGCAGCAGCAGCAGCAGCAGGCAGTAGCAGCAGCAGCGGTGGTAGGAGAATTTAATTTATATATAAATAGATATGTATATTTATTTATATTATATAATTAATATAAATATAATTAAAAAGGGTTTAGGGTTTTATTAGGGTTTAGCATAAACCCTAATAAAATAATCTAGCGAGTCTTAGGGCTGGTATGAGGTCTTCTAGGGTTTAGGGTTTAGGGTTTAGGGTTTAGGCGTTGTGTGGGGTCTCTGTATAGGAAATAAAATATAAAGAAACTATATATTTATATTTTTTATTATTTAGATTTTGTGTAAACCCTAAACCCTAAACCCTAATTCTTATTCCCTATAGCGCATGCACAGCCGCTGTCGACTTCCTACGAGTTGGTTATCGATAACCCTAAACCCTAAACCCTAAACCCTCTTTTTTTCTAAGGGTTTGTAAACCCTAAAAAGACACAAACAGTCAACTTAATTCCTCTTAGGGTTTGGTCTTCGTACACATAAACCCTAAACCCTCAATGACAAACCCTAATCGCTCTCCACCGCCTTCCCGCCATCGCTTCTTGATGTTCGGCAAACCCTAAACCCTAAACCCTAAACCCTAATATATCAGCACCTGGTCTTTAAATGCTGAGGTGTATGGACAGCTGCTGCTGCAGTTTGCGGCAGTGGCAGCAGCAGCAAAATAATATCTTATTGGGGGTTGCATGCGCTCCTCGCCTGCAGCAGCAGCAGCAGCAGCATATGCTGTTGCTGCTGCAACAACCACAGCAGCAGCGGCTGCTGCTGCAGCAAAAACAGCAGCAGCAGCAGCAGCAAAGAAGAGAGTTTTCGCGGTTTACCCGTGGAGGGACAGCTCGTCCTCCTGCGGTTAACCAAACCCTAAACCCTAAACCCTCGTCTCCACCTCAACAGGCCGTAAACCCTCAAGATCGCGACCGCCGTCTTCGCCAGACCCGTGTCCGTCTCTAAACCCTAAACCCTAAACCCTAAACCCTTGTTTACACCGGCATAGTGTTTCTGAATAAAGGTGTTAAATGATTTATTCCTATAGCTCACGGTGTAGGGTTTAGGGTTTAGGGTTTAGGGTTTGTGATTAAATGAGTATTATTGCCTCCCCTTTACACCCATCAAAATGTTAGGGTTTAGGGTTTAGGGTTTAGGGTTTACTGTGCAGGTGAGTACGAGCTCCTCTCTATATTTAGAGTGTTTAGAGGGTTTACGAAGAAGACGTTGGGGTTTAGGGGATATATTAAGTTCCCCTAGTCAAGAAATAGAGGAATTAAATAAACAAGAAAAAAAAATTATACAAACCCTAATGCAAAGAACTGCTCTTGCTGATCAGGTAATTATAATAAATAACGAGGGTTTAGGGTTTAGGGTTTAGGGTTTAGGGTTTGGGCATAACATACGAGGGTTTAAGGTATGGGGTCTAGGGTTTAGGGTTTGGGCCTCAGGGCAAAAACTGGAGGGTTTAGGTTTTGGATACACCAACGAGAGTTTAGGGTTTAGGGTTTAGGGTTTAGGGTTTAGGGTTTATGTGCAGAAAGTAGCGACGGGTATTGATGCTTATTGGGATCCAATGGCTCGTGTTGAGGGTTTAGAGGCGCAAGTTGCTGCAGACTTTGAGGAATTAACACAGTAAACCCTAAACCCTAAACCCTAGATATTCAGAATCTGCAAATTCAAACCCTTATTTTTCATACCTACGGCTAAACCCTAAACCGCATCTCTAAACCGTAAACCCTAATCTGCGCTACTGACGCATCTTACCAACTGCTGCTGCTGCTGCTTTTGCTGCTGCTGCTGCTGCTGCTGCTGCTGCTGCTGCTGCAGATTGATAGGAGCAACAGAGGCACGACGGCAACGGTTGCTGCTGCGTCAATCCTTAAGAAGAGCGGAGAAACTTCATGACCCCCTCAGCCAAGAAAGGAGTGAATATTTTGGCCAACAGGTAAACCCTAAACCCTAAACCCTAAACCCTAAACCCTAATTTGCGAATTCGTTAGATATGTATACTATACAGTATCCTCCTTACATCAGATATTAGCCACACCGCTGCCAAACCCTCTCTCTCTTCTTATCTCTCCACAGAAACCCCAGAATTAGGGTTTAGGGTTTAGGGTTTAGGGTTTGTGTACAGGACATAGAGGAGCCTCCCATTCCTCCTCATAGACCCGAGAGGTTTTGGGACCCGAGTGTTTCCTTAAGAAGAGTATTAAAGAATAAAAATTTGCCTATAACATGGAAGGGTTAGTAGTATAAACCCTAAACCCTAAACCCTAAACCCTCACTGGTTCACGGCAATATGAGGGTTTGCCCCATAGTAACATCGTTAGAACTTGCTGATATTTAGGGTTTAGGGTTTAGGGTTTGTGTGTTCATAATTCCTCATAATCTATGATAGTATTATTAAATCCAAGGAACAAAAAGCAACTTTATTCTCTATTATTTCATATTTCTAGGGTTTAGGGTTTAGGGTTTAGGGTTTAGGGTTTAGGGTTTAGGGTTTAGGGTTTACATTTTTTTTTTTTTCAGATTTACATATATTAGGTAATTTTATAGGACCAACAGGATTACTTCTTCCTCGTCGTCTAACTTTTGCGTCGCGAATTCAGCAAAAATTTATTTATAAGGCTGTTGCTGCTGCTCGTCGTGTTGCTCTCTTTCCTTATGATCGTAAACCCTCACCCCAGCAACAAATGCCTCTTATGGATCCTATTCAAGTACGATCTATTTCTCCTGTTGCTTCTGCTCCTGCTGTTCCTGCTGCTGCTGCTGCTGTTATCGTTGCTGCTGTTGATGCTGTTGCTGCTGCTGCTTGTCCTGCTGCTGTTCGTGGTGGTGGTGATGGTATTTATCCCTTTCTATCCACTCTTAATTTTTTAGGGTTTAGGGTTTAGGGTTTAGGGTTTAGGGTTTGTGCTCAGTTTCTAGCAGATGAATTAACTCACCGTGTGGCGGCTAATGGCGATCTTCGCGCAGAAGCAATTTTAAGGGTTTTAATGCAACGATACCCTAAATTAGATTATTTCAGGTACCCTAAACCCTAAACCCTAGCTAAACCCTAGCTAAACCCTAGCTAGACCCTAGCTAAACCCTAGCTAAACCCTTAAGTGTAAATTGCCAGTCCAGCCAATAAAAGCCCACCCTTGCAGTACTATTGTAGCCACCATATTCATCTAAACCCCTAAACCCTCAGCCTAAACCCTAAACCCTCGTCGCTAAACCCTAAACACTCGCTGTGCCACTACGTCTTCAGGTATTTGCAACTGCAGTCGAAGAGGGGGGAGAAAGCTGCAGCAGCTGCTGCTGCTGCTGCTGCTGATGCTGCTGGAACAGGTGCTGCTGCTGCTGCTGCACCAGGTGCTGCTGCTGCTGGCTCCGCCTCCTCCTCTTCTATGCAGCAGCGATGGGCAAGCGCGGGCAAACTCTAAACCCTCAAAACACGAATTCGCTAAACCCTAAACCCTCAGATAGATTCTCCCCCCAATTCACTCATAGCTGGCTAGCGTCTTCTGTCTCGTATAGAGACCCCTATTATAGCTAGCTAGCTATCTGGCTAGCTAGCTAGCTAGCTAGCTAACTAACGAACTAGCTATGTGGCTAGCTAGCTAGCTAGCTATATGCCCGGCTAGCTAGTAGCAAAGCCCCAAACTTTCGTGCATGCGCTCTGCCTACAGAGGCTGTTGTTCATATATAAATATAAAAATAGATAAATATAAAAATAAATGTATTTAAATATTATATATATATATATATATA